AGGAGCTCTTATAACAACAGGAAGTGTTGAGAGAAGAATGAAGAAGAACCGAATGGACAGGATGTACACTCAAGTTATAGAATTCGGTTTTGTGGCGAGGTGAAATATCCGAAAATTTCCGAAAAAATGCCACGCCCACGGAAAGCAACAGAAGAGAGACACACAGTCAGAGGAGTACGACACATGTCGATCGAAGAGGAAGGAGGAGGATGTGTTTTGGCGAGGAAAGATGAATATTATAATAAGGATAAAGAATTTCGCTATTTGTAATTATTGTATTCGAAAGAGGATACACAACAAAGAATGGTAACGCGAAAAGTTCCGAATAACATGATCGAGCCGTACAGCAGTCGTTGAGGAGGTGATTCGGGAGAAGAAGAAGAAGAAGAAAGAAGAGAAAAACCGAGGGAGTTAGGGTAATAGAGGCATGGCAATTGAGACCAATTTTGGCGGGCAGTGCACGGGATAACCAGAAGGTGACTACGGTGAGAGAGGAGGAAAGGTAGATGATCGCCAATGGTATTGGAAATTGTTAGATGACAAATTTGCCCGCATGAGTATGGATCGGAGGCAATGATAGGTGCGGACCGAAGAAAGAATATGCGCAGTGCAGGAAAAGATATAATGTGGTAGGATCAATAAGGCGAAAAATAGCCTATCAAGACAAGTATGTATGCTTGTGCCCTAAAAGATATAAGAATGCGAAAGAACAACCCAGAAGAGAATAGAAAAAGAGACGCAAATGCATGGACTAATTCATGAAGTGGCAGAAGACTATTTATAGAGCCAGATGATCTAAAGTACTGTTCAAACATCTGGTGGAAGAGCTGAAAACAGCATCAAACCGGTGACAGAGGAAGACAAGGTAGATTAGCTCAAGAAGGAAAGAAGAGTAGGAGACCGGAGAGAAAGGAATGAACTGGATGAGGCACAGTAGACAGATAGATAAAGAGTTGAGGTTACGAGAGAGAAGACGGCTTGATTGACTCAAGAGGAGTGGGCAAAGCGAAAGAAGGAAAATATCAGGAGTAGAAGTTGTAGGAGGATGATGTAAGAGAATTGGTACTATTGTAGGTCAGGAGGTTACAAGTTTGTGATATCGAAGGGAACTTACATTCGTGGTGGTTCTAATCTTTCTCTGAGTTACAGAAATCGCTTGATTGCCTCAAAAGGTTGTGCAACAAAAAACAAGTTCAGGGTAAATTTTTATTTATTTTTACTTTTGTCAATTTCAAGTTATTTCAGGGACTAATGTGGGTTTTTCTTTCTTTAACGTAAAGGTACCAATAATTTTCCACATGTTTAACGTAGGAAAATTAACTCCTGGTTGAAAACATCCTCCTTTGCGCTTAACACTCTTGATTCATACCTCAGTTAGATGATATCATCGCTCACACACAATGGATGTGGCCATCTTTCTTTCTCTCACTGTCTGCATGTCACAGCTGCTGCTGTTGAAGTTAGCTGCTCTTTCCTTTAGTTCTCAGTGCTGTGTTTCTTCTTGAAGGGATTCACTGACGGTTCTGTTTCAACAGTCCATTTGTCTCACCTGTCTGTGGCACTTATGGCAACATGTGTCTACTTCAACTTCAGTAGCTTGTTAGCATTGTAAGAATAAACAATTTATTTCAACTGTACTAGTAGTAGTAGTAGTAGTAGTAGTAGTAGTGGTAGTGGTAGTAGTAGCTAAAGACCGTGTTTGTTAGAGTACTGAATCAAAACTCTGCAGGTATCCCTTCACAGTGTCTGTGTGCTGTTGTGTGATGTCCTGTACATTAGCCTAGATCCACTGAGTTCAGGGACTTCTGGTTTATAACTTCTCTGTTCTGTAATCCACCTCTCTGACAGGACCTGATAAAGTCAAGGTAAGAGATTGAACACACAACAAAATTCATATAAAATGCAAATCTGGCAATGTTGTCAAAATGATGTTAGTAAATGTCCATAAAGGCAGTGCAGTTCAGATGTACATTGTACGTTTCGTCAGATCTTACATCATGTGTTGCTGAAAAAGAAAATTAAGTTTACTGTGTGCATCATTATAAAAATTATCAACAAAGGTAATGCTGGTTCTGATAGAACGGTGTCAGAACACACAGTGCATCACAGTTTGTTGGGGCCTGAAAGTAGCCACTGACCTTATCAGTATATACTGAATCGTAACTCCTGTATCGTGATATGTATCGTATCGTCAGATTCTTGCCAATACAGCACCCTACAAGTCAACTTACTGTAAAAGTCACAGCAGCACTGAACAGCAATTCAATTTTTTTTTTAAATATATATTTTTTGACAGATACATCCAATAATGATACATGATAAACATGTTATGTACACTCACTTAAAATAATGATTTTGTTTTCTTACATTTATGTATTTTTAAACACTGACGAAGATATGTACTGAGCAGGACAGGTAGAAATATAAAGGTAAAAACCTCAATAATAAACATATAGTTAAATGAATACGTCCTTGACAGTGTCAATCAAAGATGAACATTCTTATCTTTCTAAACAGAATTTGTAGAATTTATGGCTGAGCTGTTGTCTTGAATTGTGTTAGATTTTACAGGTGTACCTTATAAAGTTGCCACTGAGTGTATAGAGTGCTGCAGCAATAAGTCCTAGAACCAAGAACTGATTGCATTTTAGCATCTATGGTTCCCTCTCCTCACAGTCAGTGGGTTGTTTGAATGGGTTTTTGGTTGTGGTTGTGGTTAACACAAGCTTAAAAGATTTTCATATTTTGTTCTACGACATAAAATTGGGTATCAGTGAGTACAAGAATGTGATCAATACTCTGTATTGGCCAGTATGCAAAGTTCAGGTATTGCAATCGGGAAGGAAAAAATGGTATCAGGACATCATCATACTCGTGCAAACTATTCTCACTCAAACTTTACAACGTAAAGAATTAAATTACAAGTTGTAGTTTAGCGTTTAGCATTTATAGCCTAACGTTAGCTTTTCACTTCTGGCATTTGCCTTCAAAAATCATAGAAGTGGTGTTTGTGATTTGCTGAACATATCTTTAACAATCTAAAAAGACATCACTTTCAATAAATAAAGCCACCAATGTTACAGATTCCATAACTGAAAGGGAGTTTTACTCCCTCTCTATCCCTCTCTCGCTCTCTGTAGTTTGGGAATGAGGCCCAGCAGTTGGAGTGGGCTAAGCGAGAGAGCGAGCGGGCAGAGCGTGAGCGGCTGAAGAGGCTAAGACAGCAGGAGCAGGAGGACCTGGAGCTGGCCATCGCCCTCAGCAAGGCCGAGATGTCCAACGCATGACCTGGAACCCCCAACAAACACAGATACAGATACATAGACACATACACACACAAACAAACACAGCGGGTAGACAGGCTAACATGCAGACAAACATCTAAATATTCAGACACAAAGCACATCACTGGACAAACTCCTGAGTGTTCATACAAACTCTGGTACACACACACACACAC